CTTCTCCTGTTTTCTAGATCTCCTATATTCATCAACAGAGAGTCTTGAATGTCGCTTTTGGACCATATTTTTATAAGCAGCTCTTTTTGCCTGTGTTACAAGGAAGCATTCATTATCAAACCAATCCTTTGGTTTGGGTTTTCCATATATCCCATTGTGTTGTCAGCTGAGCGTATGATCGAGACTTTGAGCAAACTCCACTTATTTCCACAGTTTCCAGTTCGGCCATGTTTTTAGATCTTAGTTCTCCTCTGAGTGAGGATTATAAATTTTATTCAATTGCCTCATTTTTCAGCTTTTCACAATACAACTTTTTTTGCCTCTTTCCCTGTATCTTTCGGGCATTTGAAATTTTAGCAATTAGTTACCAAAAAGTGGTCGGAATCACAGATTGCGCCTCAATAAGTTCTAACATCCTGGATATCCGAAGAATGCCTAGTATCAATGAGTGCGTGATCAATTTGATTCCAGGTTTCTTCATCAGGTGAGTGCCAAGTCATCTTATGTATTCTCCTGTGGCTGAACACAGTGCTTGAAATTATCATGTGTTCAGCAGCAAAAAGTACTAGTCATTGTCCATTGTCATTAGTACTATCATGTAAGCTATGCTTTCCAATTGTTGGTCTTAATTCCTCCTCTTTATCCATTTTAGCACTCATATCTCTGATAACAATTTTAATGTCATGCTTGCGAAAAGATCTATATAACATAGAAAGTTCCTCATAAAAAAATTTCTTCTCCTCCTCTTCCTTGTCCTCTGTAGGTGCATGTCCATTGATAATACTATAATTAAAAAACTTTCCCCTTAGCCAAATTTTGCAAAGTCGGGGTGATTAAGAAACAAAATCAATCACTAAATGTTTTAAACTTTTGTTCAATAAGAAACCAGTACCAAAACATGTTTTTTTCATATCACAGCTATAGTAAACCGTGGGTTTCTTTTCTCAGTGGTACCTTCCTCAAGCCATTGCATTTCCTGAATGGCAAGTAGATCCATATTATATTTGTCAAATTCTTCTATAAGAAATTACAGTCCCCCTACTGTAGTACAGTGTTTAGACATTTCAGGTTCCGAAACGGAAAGTCCTTAGACCTTTTTCAAGTTGTTTTCCAGTAGAAGCACTCTGGCAAATTATATCTTTGGATTTCTTAACAGTAAGATTTTTTATGGGGTGGGGTAGTTGGCCCCACACCCAACCCCCAACCTGGAGGACCAGGGTGCCCGGCTATACCTCCAGATGCTGGGTGCCCATTTTAGTCGCCTATTATGACATACATGAGCTACATTGGGAGCTTTCGAGACATGAAAAACGCAATTTAAATTTTGTCAATCGACCCAGTAGAACAGGAGATGTAGAACTGTTCTTTTATTTTGCGCAGTGTACATCTGCTGGATGTGCAGTTCCGATGTTCTGGAGTTCGCACTATTCATTCATTGGACACCAAATTTTAGTCATGTGCATATTCGGTCAAAACATTTATGTATACGAAATTTCAAAGCAGTCGGATTATTCCTTCTTGGTGCAGCGATTTTTTGGTTATAGAGTGTACATTGGACATGTTGCATTCTGGTTCTTTCAAAGAGGCCAAAAGGAGTAATGAAGGCTTTTTTATGCACATCTGCAAGGTTGATAGGGATCTGAGGATATGCTTTAATACGATCAATGCGAGAAAAAATTTTTATAGCATGAAGGGCTGCTGTAAAATCTAAGATGTTTGGAGTTCCATAATTATCCTTAACAATTTGGGCATTAAATGCATGATAGTCACTAACAGGTCACCATATTGTACTAGCCTTTCTTTGAAGCACGTGCAAAAATTAAGTATAATTGCTTTTAGAAAGATGCGTGAAACCAATGTCAGTTATGTTTTGAATTTCCTCCTTGGTATTTTGCAAACAGCAAGACTGTGATCTTTACAGAAACAGTAAAGACAAGTTGTTTAAATATAACGGACAATAGAATGCTTTATTTCCTGATCTGGGTGAGTAGACTGAATAATCTCCAAGAATTATTTTAAAACTGATGATAGATTGTGTTGCCAGATACATTTTTAATAGAATAAATTTGCTACATTGCAGTGAGTATTTATATTAGTCTGGGAATCAGTTGATTTTTATTTGGCCAAATTAGGAATTAAATTGCATAAAAACTCTCTTCTATTATAGGGGTAAAAACATTATGCACTAAAAATTTCCATTTAAAAATTTTTCTCAGAATGAGATCCAAAGATAATGTTTGAGTTGTAGTTACATTAATTTGAGAAGTGTTTACTGCAGTCATTTTTAGAGTTTTTTGTCATCACATCTTAAAAACTGGGATTGTTGATACACAAAAACCAGTGTGTTTAAAAAGATTTACATTTGATTATCTGTTGCAGACAAATAGAGTTGATTCATGGAAAGTATGCAGAAGGTATAGTGCATCAGAAAAGTAGCAAGAAAAATTTCTGAAGTAAAAAGTATTTTCAGGGTCTTTTAGAAAGTCGTTAATTATTTGGTGTTTGAAAAGGTTTGTGTGAATGCAAGCAAATTAAAAACTACGGTAAGTTTACATTTTTGTTTTGTTTGTTTGCATAAAGTGGAATTTTGGAATCTTATAAATTGAAGGAGGTATTAGTAACAACCTTAAAATGTGTCTACAGCAGTCCAATAATTTCTTTTTTCCCTTCTAGGTATCCAATAGAATGCATTAATGCCGCTGTAACTTGTTATGTTAAAAAACAAAGTACTTCAGAAACAAAGGGGATGATCTGTGAAATCTAGAAAGAGAACAACATATCTGTTATTTATATTTATGGGAAATGGTTTAGATTTTATTTGGTTTGCTTTGATTATAGAAAAGCATGCAAGAGCTATCTGTCTACGGAATGCTTTTGTGGTGAACTTTCAACAAGAAACTGCTTCATACCCATGTTACACATGGGAAGAATTATGAAAAGGCTCATGCAGCCTGCCCTTTGACTGGAATTTGAACTGCGGGGCAAAACTATGAGTGTTCAGGAACTTAACTGCTGTACCATTTGTCAGCTGAGAAGTGATTTAGAAGTATTAAAACTGGCATTAATGGCAATGTTTAGGAAGACCAATAGACTAAAAGTGATATTCCATTTCAACTCATCATTTCTAATCTGGGCACTGCCTAGATATCTAGTAGTTCTTTGCTGTATTGCATATTTGTTGTCTCTCTAAAGTAATTCACTTCAGCTTGTTTTATGAACATAAAAATGAGTCTCCTGATAGCTTAATCATATTTTCTTTTGATGTCGATTCTTATTTGTGAGCATTATGATAAATTTCTGGAAGTAAGAATTTTTTCATGCATTGATACTGTGGAATTAATCCTTCTTACTAACCTTTTCTTACCCAAACAATTTTTTCAAAATAACTGTTGTTGTCAAAGATTAGCCATGGGAAATCTTTTCAATTCATGTTACACTGAAAACTGTATGTACTGTTTTGAATTTGGGATATTTAAAAGTAGATTTGTATGTCCATATCTGTTATGTTTATGATCCTTTGTTCTTTATTTTTCTTTTCCATTTATCATTATCTTATTTAAATTCAGTAAATATAGCTTCCATATCATTTTATCTTCTGTCATAAGCTAAATGTTCTCAGTCTATTGTACAAAAGATGACTCTATTTTATTTTTTCATTTTTCATGCTCCCTAAGATTGCTCTTTCATGATTTGTAATCAGGAAAATTTTTTTATGTAATTTAATTTTTTATGTTATTTACCAAGTAGTTAAATTTTTTTCCATATGTCCTTCAGCATGTGATGATATGGCAGGTTTTCTTTGTTCTTGCTGTTAATTCCAAGTTCTATTCCTCAGTAAGGCACAGACATTTTGACTTTAGTAGCTTTGCAGAGTAGAAACAGTTAAAATCCATTCTTGCTCAAGAAAACTATAGGAAAAAAAAAAAAAAAACTCCGCCTGCTTAAGGAGTTGGTAGGAGGTTTAGCTGGGATGGATTTTAGGCAAATAAACATCACATGCTATTAGAATCCAATCCTAAAAATTCTGCGCTTGTAATAAGAAACATCTAGCTCCTACTCCAAACAATCCTTTTAATTTAGTTTTTATTCCTTTCTTTTCCTTTGTCAGTTAAAAATATTTATAACATTAATTTTTAAATCATTTTTAATACAGCTCGTACCTTAAAGACCATGTAATAGAGGCACTTATCATTCACCAGTTTGAAACTCTTCTCAAGATGTTATGGTAAGGATATTAGATTCTTGGATTCCATCCCTTAGAATGTTCCCATTCCATATTGAGAAGTAGCCAAGTATGTAATCCTCATATATTTTGTCTAATTAAGTATCATAATCCTTAAAGATCATACTCATTATATGGATTTCTGGAGAAATTATGGCATTCTTGTTAGTGGGGCTTACTGTATAATGTGGGTTCGATTTTATTGAAGCTGTTCATGTACATGAAATTCTGTCTAATTTGGTTAATAATTTTAATTTTAATCTTTTTTTCTCATGGCCTTTGAATTACTTATTTTCAGATTTGTCGTGATTCATCAATAGATGGAATTAACTGTTTCTTTTTATTGTAGATGCCAACCATGTTAACATTTTGAAAACCTTCTTTATAGTAGATCTTTATTGGTAGTATTTGTTATTCATTAATTTACCAGCTACTAAAGACGTAAAAAGAAAGAGATCCATAATAGATTATGCATTGTTATGAAAATTAAAAGGGACTCATACTCAAACCATTCACTCATATTCTGGTTTTCATGTATGGAAGCTAAAAATACTACCCCGTAATAATATTCCATTTTGTATATGATGAAGTATTGCCTACTTATATCCAGAAATTTGTTTGGATTTTTTGGTGTATTTTATTAGATTCATTAGAAGCGAAGATTAGCCATGTTATTAAAATTTTATTTATAAATATTTTCTTTTGGGTTGCTTGTAGTTCAGGTGTCTTTATTTTGCCATCCCTGAATATATTCACAGAAAAGTATTTTCATTTTTAGTGATGTTGGAGAAACATCTAGGGTAGTGTATGTTATTGAAGAATACAATCCATTATTGGATTCATCTAATATGACTATGGATGACTGGATAAGGATAGCTATGAACATAAAGGTAAGATATTTTTATGGTTTTAGAATGTTCTTTCATTACTGATTTTGGCAATCATTTAGCAATAGTCTTTAATATTTTTAAATTATTTTTTTTGTGTATTTTGCTTTGTGCTATATGACCCTATTGACATATTATGTTTTGCTTTTATGACAATTAACTGGCATGATGTAGTGTTCTAATTAGGAATTTAGCAATTGCATATTTCTGATTATTACTTTCTTTTTTCTTAAATCTTGTACTATGAGTTAGGTGCTTGAAAAGTATGTGCAGCTAATTTTAAAAAGAAAGTTAAAATTCATATTCAACATATATAAAAATAGATTGCCATTGTAACTGAACATTCGTCTCTCTTGGCATCCATAATTATCTTTAAATGTATAATACCTGAATTCTGAAACAAATATAATTGAATAATTTATTTGAGTTTATACATAGAATTATTGCACATAACACAGATTAAAAACTCAAATATAAGTATATAAGATAAAAACTGTATTATGAAACGAGTAAAATTAAAATAATACATCCCAAATATTATAAATAACTGAATCCTCGGAAAAGGACAATGACATTTAATATTATAGGAGCATGTGAAATTCCCTAGTTTTTTCATGCATGCCACTATGCATTCCCATGCTTTCAAATAAAATGGTTAATTAGAATTTAGAGAAATACAATCTGGTCCAACAATATGGTCTTCGAGGTACTAAATGTGTAGAAGGAGAATTTTGCCTTGCAGCAAAGTTTTGTCTTTTCCAAAGGTGTGTCATATGTTTTCTATGGGACAGAAATTGAAAAGATTTAGCTGGTCGGTTTATTTGATATACCTGTGACTTTTGAGAAATTCATCAACCATGTTTTCTCATTGTGAACGTTCATTATCATCCATAAAAAGAAATTCATATCCAGATACACACTTAAAAAGCCTTGTACTAAATTGTAAAACTTCATTACACTATATTCAGGTTGATGTATATCCTCTGTCGAATATGGGCAGGTAAACACATCCAATCCTCTCTATTCCTGCATTTCCATTCTGTGTTCACTGTTATTTCCATTACATATGTACCACTGTAAAATTTTGTTTCGTGATCATAGTAGGAGTATTTTATGTTCTTGGCTCCTTGCAGAAGTAAACATGTCTGGCATCAGATCTTATATTGAATTTTTGACTCATCACTGAAGAAAAAAGTTTCATTGATGCAGATTCTAGCTTTAATATTCTCTGCACCAATTTAGAGGGGCTGTGTTTTGCAGCAAGATCAGTGAAACACAAAGCATCGACTCTCTCACATAAAGATCTTATCATCTAAAAATCCAAGCATTAACAGTTTTAAATGGCTTTAAATTGTTATATAGAGCAGAGATTATCTGTCTTGGAACATGCCGATATCTTGCCAATTACATAATTAAGTGCGATGCTTCTAAATGACCTGGGAGTGAAAGATTCTTCTAAATGATAATTTAGGTTTTGAATTCATAAATGCTATAAGAAGCTGTTTTAACTTGATAAGTGCTAAATGGAATTGTAAACTGGAAAGATTTAGTGGAAAATGTACCCAATATTACCATTACTTACATTTCAGATACAAACTGATCAAATTAACTGAATACTAATATACAGGTTAGCCTTTTGCTGATCTCCCCGAAAAGGCTAGATTGATTGATAATTTCCTAAAATGTAATCAGTTCTTAATTAAGAACTGAGAGCAGAATCATGCTCCATCTTAAAAAAAAGTTAAGTTTTGACCAGGTACTATAGTTTTCAATTACAACGATCTTAAATTCTGTAGATTTAGATGATCAAACCTTTTTATGCCATAATTGCAACTTACAGTTTTTGGTATTTTTGTTGCATAGGGCAATATTTAAAACTTAGCCATTTACTGTTGATTTATAAATATTCAGTCTACTGGAACGTTATGTTCGTTTCTCTGACAACAGTTTTCGACACGTAAGCACATATTTATTTGGTGCATGTTCGGCTCTGTGTTTTTATCGCTTAATGTATACATACTGACATAGCAAATTAACTAAAAGTTGATTCATACTGGGTGGGATTAGTTTTTATGTATCTGTTCTGCATTTGGATTTTCTTCTTTTAAAGTTAAGGTCTAATATTGTTTCTGAAATGCATTTGCTCTAACCCTTTTTTTTTTTAACTTCATTATTAGAAATCATATGTGATTATGCCAGAGGTATGATAAATTTTCATACATCTGATAAAACCAAATGAAATAAACTTATTTCAAGTTATATATGAATTAAGATTATTCATTTATTAAGAATAATTCTTCTTTTAAACTTAGATAAAAGGTTTAAGATTGTTTCTGAAATACACTTGTCCTAACTATTCTTTTAACTCTATTATTAGAAATCATATGAAGCTTATAATGGTTTCATTGTGCTGCATGGAACTGATACTATGGCATACACAGCATCTGCACTATCTTTCATGTTAGAGAATTTAGGAAAAACTGTTGTAATTACTGGATCTCAGGTTTGTTATTAATAATGTTTAACTTATGGACTTTTGTGTTTCTTTAGTATTAAATCAAGTATTTATATAAAACTGCAGTTCAATGCTGTTTCCATAGATGCAATATTATTTGAGATTTTTCTTACCTGAGGATTTTCATCAGTAGCAAAATGCATGTAAGAATTTTTTATAGCAGGCTGTACGAGTTTTATTTTGAAGTTTTATTTGTGTATATAACATTCCTTATGTATGCTGTTTTGTCTGTGTTTACAGGACACTTTCTTTTAATGCATTATATATGTAATATATGTAGATAAACAAGACCGTTTAAAAATCAGAAGTAAACAAACATACAAAAGGCATTTCTTCTTTTGTCTTGCTTTCTTATTATTTTGAATACTGATAGATTAAAGAGATTAAATAATAGAATTGTTTTTAAATTAGAAAAGTTCAGTTTCCTAGTTTTATTGCAAAATTAAACAGGCAAATTGTACTCAATAATGGGCATAACATTTTAGGGTTTTTTTTTTCTGTTTTGCCGGCGCAGGTGATAAAGTCGCCAATAATGGTACAACTGATACCAAATGGAATATCTTCGCAGGTAACCTTTTACGCCTCATCTTCAAACAAATCGCAGCCATTTCTTATCAGATTGATTGTTTCTTTCAATACTGCCATACAATTACATAGAATTTTTACCCAGATAGTTCAATTTTATGCCCTAGGGCCATTTGCTTGAACTAAGTCAATTAGGATGCAATCACACCACTCACCCGAAGACAAAAACGTAGGAAAGGCAACATCAAGGGTTAAATTCATCAATTCTAATGAGAATGCACTAGGGAAGTACAGCACTGTAGTTTTACATAATTTCTGAGTAAGTCATTCCTGCATCTAAATAAAGATTTAACTTGAAATTAATGTACATAATTACTGAGAGAATTAGATTTTTGTAGCGTAGTTTACATGAGATTAGATCAGTTACGATCATGTGATATGAACCGGTGAATCAGGGTGTTGAATCGTAAAAGCATAGTAAATTCTTAAATTAAAATCGCTTTACAAATTTATTGCCTTTATTTATTGGCTTTTTACAAAATTTTAAATGATATTCAAATGGTTATGCCTTCAAAATAAAAAATTCTTAGAACTAACATTTATTAAAATTTTAACAAATTTTGTTAAAATTTTTAAAAATTTTAACAAATGTTAGTTCTAAGAATTTTTTATTTGTGTAGTTGTATACGGTATGTCATCGCCAATAAAGTCTGCTTGGCGAGATTTTCACCGGCGAAACAGAAAAGTACCCATTTTAGCTATGTGCTGCTAAAGAATCACTTGTGAAAGTTGAATGCTTTAATGAAAGCTATGCCTTGCTTTTGGTGTTGCACAGATCATTATGAATGGTATTTGAAAAAGAACTTAAATAAAGGAAAGGGGAAAAAAACTTGCACTTAATAAAAAATATAAATTATTTAAGTTTCTTAATATATTTAAAAAGTACATGTTTAACATGGATTGTATTTTCAGATTATACTTTTTAAAATATCCTATAATTGTTGTGCTGAGATTTCCCACTAAACTATCAAACTAAATCTTTTCATTCTCAACAGCCTTTTTGTCAGCTCTTTCTGCTGTATTAGTAGTGATATTTTCTAGATTTAAAACTGTACTATAGAGTTTGCAGTTCATTGATTGATGATTGGGGCAAGGTCATTGCAATGGAACACTTCTGTTAGTTCATCTTAATTTATTATCACTTCTCTGCATTCACAAACTCCATTAACTGGAAAATTTCACGTTTTTGCTTGTAATAGCTGAAATCTTTCAAATTTGCAGCTATCATGATCACCACCATGAAATATGGTAGGTAGCTAGCCATAAATTGTGCCAAGCATTTTTTGAACATTTGCAGATATATTCTGTTGTGACCTTGCAGTGTTCTATGCACCAGATTTTAGGTTAAATTATTAAAATAAATTCTCTGATGGTCTTATTACTATTCAGATAATTTAGAATAGATTAAAAAAAAAGGCTACTTTATATCTGCATTTCAGTGCATTGGCTGAATGATAGACTTAACAATTTAAAGGAAAGAATCAGACTGAGGCATTATCTCTTACTGAAACTTTAGGTGAAGTATGAGCCGGACGATTATCTATAAATGGGACGGTTTTTGCATCATCCAGTAAGCCAACCAATTTCAAATGTTGCCAAGCTTTGGTTATGAAATTTTCAAACCAGTCATTTATGAATGTTTGTGGGATTCATGCAGTGTCATTTGAATGACTGATGATAGGGAAAATCTTTACTGCTTTAAATGCCCAAAGTGGTGTATTTTTTCTAATTATTAAAAGTTTAAATTTTTTTGTTTCAGCAGCATTTGAACTTACCAAAATTATTCCCACGTTGAAATCTTTGACACTAATGGAGACTTTCCTGCAGAGATTGCCAAGGTATTTCAGGGCACACATTTCAAGAAAAGACCAGTTTTGTCAGCATTATAAATTTGTTCTTAAGATAACTTTTCATTGTTATCGAGTTTAGTGAGATCATTTACATATTTTTCAAGCTGCTTCAGTATCAGCTGAAGCTTTTCCATCTGAAATTTTTAACTACATTATAACATGGCAACTTTTAAAATTTGTTAACAAACTTGTCAAATATGTACACTCAGTTGTTAAATCAGTTTGCTTATGAAATATTTTGATTTCATCCTGTAGCATTGGGCTCATCAATGGCATACCTCACTGCTACACTATCTCGCACATTCAATCATCATTTTGTCATGATTGTCATTTTTAGTGTAATGATTTTTCTGTTATTGCAAGTTGTCAGAATCCAAAGTCCCTTTTTCTGTATTGGTTTAAACGGTTCTGAAAAAAAAAAAAAAAAAAATCAGCACCCCTGGAGGTGATGTTCTGTGTAGCAAAGGAAGCGATGTCCTGCATCCACGGAACATTTTGAAACTTTGCCAAAAATATTTCATTTGCAGCTGTGTTCAGCGTAGAAATTAAGTTCTGTTTCCGAAGGATCACAGAAAATTTCTAATATGGTAATGGCTGTAGTTTGAGGTCGTGGGTGATAGAAAAGGAAGCTGATTCTATTGAAGAAATAATAATAATAATAAAAAAGAATCCTATATTTATATGCTGTGTTTTTATAATATAACCATCTAAGTCATTTTTTAAATGTTTATATGCTATTTGAATTTATAATCACGGAAATTTCAGAGTAGATAGTATTTTATGACATTCTTGTACTTTTGATGACTTGTTTACAAATTTTTTTGTCACCTAAAGTTCACCAAATTTGGTATATTTCATAGTGACCCATAGAATACCATGTAGAAATAGTGTATGTAGCAGAATTTTATTGAATTTATGGTGAATAATATTTCAAAATCTGTTTATATATGCATAAATTTACCATTTTCCTAATTATTCATTTAAATTCTTTATTGAATAATCAGTGACATTGTAAACATTGGAGTTGGGGGAAAAAAGGGGGAAAACATTGCTTTTGTAATGATAAAAATACTCATTAAATTTGTATGCTATTATTTTGTTATTGTTCATTGCTCTATAGTCATCTAAGTAATGTTAATAAAAATGAAATCTAAACCAGTTCCTTAGAAATTGTTAACCCCTAATAATGTCCGCATAAAATCTGAAGCATTGTACATTTTTTAAATAACTTTGTCCTATTAAACATTTAAACCTTTTCAGATTCCACTGTATGAAGCTCGGAGTGATGGAAGGGACAACTTTATGAACTCTTTAATCATTGCCGGTAACTATTGCATTCCTGAGGTAATTTTCATGTTTACCATTTCATATTAAAATTTTATTCATTTAATTTTTATCTATTGAGAAAAAGGCTCTTCTCTTTTACACACATGTATAAATGTAGTAAAGTTTTTTACATTCAAATCCAGTTTCCTCTAATATCTTTTAACACACTAAATTGTTAAAGGCTAAGTACCCATTAATTTATCATTATTTCAAGTAACTCTTTAGTGAAGTTTTGACTTGAATGAAGACAAACAATTTTATTGTTAGTAAACCACATTCTGTGTCGTTTTATTTTCAAAATGAAGCTAATTCTACAGATCCTTCTTGTCTTCTTATCAATCTATTGAGCTCAAAGATTTTCATTTACCTTTACAGGATGTGTTTAACGTTTACGAAGAAAAAAGAATTACAAAGCTCATGTAATGCAAAATGTTATTTTATTATGTCCCTCCATATCTAGAATATTGTTAATTGTGCATCTTGTGTATTATCTAATATTTTTTCCATATTTATCTTAGTATGTAAAAAAGTGTAAGGGAAGCACCAGACTTTGGAATCACTAATTTCGCCCAGACTCAGCACAATTATGAGATACTTTAAAAACAATGAATTTGCAAAATCTTATTTACCTTATCGGATACTTGATTCCCTATGGATGTGCAATGAAATGAGAAACTTTTCCAAGAAATTCTTTCCTTTCTGAATTATAAAAGAAAAGTTTCCAGAAATACACTGAAGCAGAACATTCTTCTGATTGGGTAATCTATGCAGAAATTTCAGTGCATTCCACCACCTGGTGTTGTAAAACATCTCAGTTACGCATGCAAAACAGATCACTAAGTAGAACTTCTTCCCCAAAGTTGTGGATAAAAACTTGCTATTTAAATTAGAAGTTTAGAAGTTTCTTGTGCTTCATATTTATAGATTTGATAAGGCCATAACAACTCTAAAAAAAAAAAGAAGAAATTAAGTTTCCTATTGTACTAGCTTAGAAATTACTCCAGCTTGATGAAGTTATTTGATTATATTATTTGAGCTTGACTGTTTGATTATATTATTTGAGCCTGTGGAAGCTCAGTGTTTATATATGGTTTATTTCAGATTGAAGGTCTGGTGGTTGAATCAAAACAAGTCACACAGTTATCTGGAGACCTGTGCTCGATCAACTAAAGGTTTTCACACCCTCTCTAAATTGATATATTGCTATAGCAGAGATCCATTTTGCTTTCTGTTTTATTTTCATTGTATATTAAAAAATTAACCTAATAGAAAAAGGTCATAGAAGTATTCATAAAAATATTTTAAAATCTATACTGTGCAAAATTAAGTTAGGTGTTCCCAGGCCATTTGGCATCCAGAACCCTTTTCAGAATCCATTTTTCTAATAGAGCCTCTTAAGCTCATCCTATGTCTTACAGTTAATTATGTTTAAGAATGATGAATTAGGATAGGTAGAAAGGAAATGGTATATCATTAGTAAGCAAACTAAGGAAATATCTAACCAGTTGTATGATGTTCATGAGATGAAATTATATTTCAAAATTTTTAACTTCACATTACAAAATAATTGAATAACCAGATCTTTCATTGCAAAGCGAATTTATGTCAGTTAGATTTACTTTAAAGCAGTGCCACCACACAGCGTCTTTCAAACCACTTGGTTGAAGGCTGGCAGACATGTTCACTTGATGAGGTCAGAGATTATCACTCATAAGAAGGAAATCAGAAGAAAAAAACCTGCTGCAGTGTGGAGTCTCACAGTAGGGTGTAAGACATTGTCTTGTTACAGCGCATTAATAACAGAACCGTTTTTAAAGATGTGGAGCTGAGTGCAATACAAAATTGAAATTTCTGCATACACCATGATGCACCTCTGAATGCATGATGTTCAGTCATATTCTCGACTTAATTCAATGTGCCTCATGCTCTCCAGACCCTCTCACAATAACCATCTGATTTTGGATAAAATCTGGACTCGTCTGTGAACAAGATATTATGCCAGTGTGAGATAGTTCGATTGAGATATTTATGACACCGCTTTAATCATGCTTCTTTGGATTGGGCAGTTAGTGGAACATAAACATCTGATACTCAGGCATACAGTCAGTCCCTTGATGTGAAGCCTGTGACGCATAGTACTAGCAGACAGTGTCTTATGAAGTGTCGCTGCAACCATGGAAGCAACAGTTCTGGAGGTTGATAATGTTTGGCTGCTATAGCAATATATCGATTTTGAAAAGGTGTGAAAATCTTTAGTCGATCGAGACTGCCAGACTGTGTCTTATGAAGTGTCATTGCAACCATGGATGTAACAGTTGTGAAGGTCGATAATGTTTGGCTGCTATAGCAATATATCAATTTAGAGAGGGTGTGAAAACCTTTAGTTGATTGAACACAGGTCTCCAGGTAACTGTGTGACTTGTTTTGATTTGTTTCCGCATTCGATAAATTACTGAATGATCAGCAAAAAAGGGAACATGTTTGACTGTTCTGATTCATTGCATCTGATAACATGCTGGCACTCACTCTCTGACATAGAAGCATCTTCTTTCAGCTATAGAAACATGAATGTGATAAAAAAATTATCATAGAAAAGTAATAAACACTTTATATCAGCATTTAATGAACCTCCTCAATAGCTGCTTAAGATGAAGGAAGCCTTCATGGAGGACTTTCTAAGGAAAATTGGCTCATATACACGTTATACATAGGGGGGAAAACAAAAATACCCAATGCAGCCAGGATTCAAACCCAGGATCTAACAGTGACTTTACTACTTTCTAGCTGGTAGGCCTGTAATATGATATTTTCATACTGCCATCTGCATTCACAGTGATTTTCAGCTGCTCAAATTCAGTTACTCTTTCAAAATTTGCATTGCATGATTAGATTTTGGAAGCCAGTATATTTACCTTAGATATGTTCATATTTACATTATTTTCATGCAGTTATGTCACAAACGGGACTGTGCTGCAATCCAAAAACTTGTAGCACCTAGTAAATCAAATGGGAAAACCTTAAAAGCAAAATAAAAGAAAATAAATGACACATGATATGTTTTTGGTCTCGGAAAGCAGCAACTGTATATTCCTAAGAATTTAATCACTTTCTCATTGAATTAAAAGTAAGTCAAACAAGTAGAATTTTAAATTAGTGCTTAATACTATGTAGGTCTTTAACATTAACCTATTTCATCAGAAAAAATATATTAATTTAAGTGTCTGAAATGTCTGTCTTGGAAACCAGTTTGGCAAAAATTCAGTTCCAAGACAGCCATCTTAATCAATACTTAGCATGTCTTTTTTGGAATCCTTTTTTCTGTTATTGATGGGCAGTATTTTCATAGTGGGGAATATGAAATATTAAGAATAAACTTGTCAGAGCTTTTCTTTCCAAATATTCAGTGACTATGTATCTACTGTTGCAATCATATTATTAAAAGTTATTGATTTGTGTGTATCATATAAAAATATTGGCAGTTTATTAGATAACATCTACAGTAGTTTAGCTGAGCTTAAACTTTTAATGTTATCTCTGACTGCAAAAAATAAAAATGTTGCAGTTAGTGATAAAACTTGATATGTTTAACTTTGTAATCTCATATCTGTTTTTATCTCATGCAGGTAACAGTACTGTTTAACAACAAGCTGTTTAGGGGCAATAGAACTAGTAAAATAAGTACATCTAGCTTGGATGCTTTTGGTTCTCCAAATTTAGCACCACTTGTTAAAATGGGTATTGGAATTCATGGTAAGATTAAAGCTCAAAATGTGCAATTTGTGCAACTAAAGTGCAATTTTGAAAACTAAAGTGCAAATGAACAAATATCTACTGTTGTGCATTTTACATGTAATAAACTCTAAATTTTATACTTTATATCCTTTGGTATTATTTTCATTTCATTTTTTAACAAAATAATTTTAACTTAATAATTTAGAAACATTTACTTATTTTCTGAAGCTTTAATCAATGCTGTTTATTTGAAATGATATTATGAATGCTGTTGAATGCTGTTTATTTAAAAATGATATTACTGGTACCGTAATTAATCGATTTGCATAGTAGATTTACCTTAATCAAGGTTCATGACATCATAAATGCATTGGTTAAGAACTTCAAAAGAAATAGGCTAAAGTAGGAGTGAATTTATTGATTTGATAATACTATTATATTAATACACTTCTGCTAAAAAAATAAGCAACAAAAGCAAAACATGGACTAAAAGAAAAACTTAATGGACATGTGCAAAATCAATCCAAGACATTGGTGTGACGTTGCTAGACCACGTAGCAAACAGTAAAGCAAAGGCATACATAAACACATGTATTATATCCATCACATTTGTCAAAAGGACCAAATGGGTCAGAAGAATGTGCAATGGAAACATCTCTGTAAGGAGTATGTCTGTGGGCCATTCTTTGCTATCCCAGTGCATACAAGTAAGCCTAGTCCTTTGTAATGGTCTTTTTTCATGATGTTTCCAAAATATCCAACAGATCTTCATTTTTTAACTTCCACGTTCAGATACCAGCTTCAAGAAATGCTTTGAAATTCTTTGAAAATTTGAGCTTTTATAGGTCATTTCTCAGTTCAGCTGCTCAAAAGAACTGTTTTACTTCCATTGCTGGTCTTAAATCTTTGTTTTGCCACGTAGGGGAAAAGATTCCTTTACTCATACTGGATAATCTTGTGATCATTCAAGGACAGCTGATCCAGAATATCCCAGTGCACATGAGCGGAACAAGTGGTGAGAAAACCCGAATAATATCCATGAGCTTTAGAAGTACTAAAGTTTGGTTACAAATCTGCTGAATTCAGAACCATCAGCCTCTGAGCTGCAGCAAACTCTAAGAGTACTCGCAAGTCTTCCATAACCGCTCCCCATACTGGACATGTAGTGTTAGAGTCCCCAGCCACTATAGAAACTCAGATTAATTATAGGATTGCTTGATCATTTTCCAGTATTAGTCTATCTGTCAGGAGACTGGGGATAAAGTAAACATTCGTAATGATCAATTTTGCATTGTTAGCCTCCAGTGTAGTTGTGGGTGTATTTTTCATCTGGTTTATGATCATTGGGGTAAGAGGTTCATTATCAACTATTGCAGCCATTTTGGGCTCTGACAAGTAAGCTCTTCTTATTGCTGGTAAGCCTGGAATGCTGTCATTCACTGTGTATAGCTCTTCCAGAAGTGTTACAGAGGTAACTGAGAAAACATGTTGTTGTAATGTTTGCAATGTTTTATATCAAGGAGGAATGGAATAACATATATCTGGCACAAAAATAGAACATGTGACGAGATATTTATGTGTATCATACAAGAGGCATTTCCATAAAAGAAAATTTGATAAGTACCATTTAAAAAGAAAAATTGGACTACACTCTTTTGCAAAAAAAATCGAAGCACCATGAAGGAAGTGGTTTGTTTCTGATGAAATTGAATATATGTATAGCTCATACACAGATAATAAAATGATTAAAAAATCAAGGCCAAAGTACCTGTTCACGGCTTACAATCACGCATTGAGTGTTCAACTTAGTAGTTGGTCGAACCGCTCCTGGCGGCAATGCATGCTTGAATTCGTCGAGGCAAGGAGTGGTAGAGGTTCCTGATGTCATCCTGCAACACAATCTGCTAGGCATTCATCAGTCGTCGTTCCAGATCTGAGATATTTTGTGGTGTTCGAATCCGGCGGCCTACCATTCCCCAGACATGCTCGATTGGTGAAAGGTCTGGTGACCTTGCTGGCCAAGGAAGAGTGTCAACCTCACAGAGACAGTCCAGAGATATGCGAGTGGTATGTGGCCTGGCATTATCTTGTTGGAAAATGGCCCCCAGGATGACGTGCCATGAAGGGTAATTCAACCGGCCGCAGGATGGTTCCAACATATCGTTGAGCTGTTAAAGATATATGGAGGATGACTAAACATGACCTGCTGTCAAGAAATAGCATCCCACACCATCACACCAGGGGTTATGGCTGTATGCCTTTGTAAAACAAAGGCTGATTGTGACCACTGGTCCCGTCCTCTCCAGACACGAACATGGTGGTACACCTGCTTCAAGAGTGAAGCGGGATTCATCTCTGAACACTATACGATGCCAGTCTAATGGCAGCCATGATGATCGGCTGCAACACCACTCCAGACGACTCCGGTGATGGTGTGGGGTCAAAGGCAAAAGTCTTAAAGGTCTCTGTGAGCGTAACCCCGCCTCAGACAAGTGCTGTGAGATGGTGGATGATACCACAGGAGGTATAGATGTGGCTGTAGTGCGTTGAATAATCAACAATGGTACCATTGGGGCGGTTCAGGCATAGTAATCATGCTATCTTGCCTCGCATTTTTGCTCCTTGGCCTTTCCAGAGCCTTCATTTCATTTGCAGTTTTCTTGTAGCAACCCTTGATGCCAACATCTTTGCACAGCATTGTCTGTATGCTGCAGGTGGCAGCCTATTGCTTGGTATGACCACCCATCTTCACGCAACCCTACAATACGACCACGTTTGAAGTCGCTTAGTTGTCTGTAAGATTTTGATATTGTTGTAATGGCATCTTTAGTTGCTTCTTTATGGAATTATAATGGCAGCAATAAAAAAGATTAATTTTTTGCCTCTGTTACTGGTTTTATACTTTGCAAATTGCGCACTAGAAATGTGCACCATGATCTCAATTCCTATTCATTTGCCTTGAAACTTTGATCATTTGCATGTTCGATCAAGTTGTTTTTGCATACCAAATTTCATCACAATCGCAGAAGTGCTTCTTGGTGCTTCGACTTTTTTTGCAAAAGAGTGTATATAATCTAATAAACATTTTCTTTATTTCTAGCGCCAAAAGAGTGCTCTGATTGAGGGTAATTTGAAACAAAACGTACCGATCAACCAGCAAGGTTTTAACAATGCAAATGGCAGAATGTATTATAATTGCTTGTGTACTGTTTTGTTCACATCGAAGGTGCAGCCAAAGAACCTAGAATAGAATTCAGTTACTTTCAAAATGAACAAAAACATTAAACCTTATTACATTACTTAAAATTTGCAAACCTGTTTTGGCTGTTTGCTAAAATAAAGTAGCATGTGCAGCAGTTTTGCAGTGGGATTCTTTTTACAAGAATTTTCATAATTGGAATTAACGAACAAATTATAATGCATCGAATTTAGGCAAAAAATGCAGCAAATCTTAAGGCGTTTTCATTATTTATTTGATGCAATAGTTAATGATTGATTACAAACAACCATTGACACCAGAGAACTTTCTCATTTCTTTTCAAATATGTGTTGTGTTTGAACACAGAAAACGATTCTATATTTTTGACATTTAGTTCATTCACCCTCAGAAATTTCTTAACAAGACTTTCACTGTTTCTAAATATATCTGTAAAGGTTTTGGCAAATCTTGATACTCCATATTTTGTGAAGTTATTATCAAGGTCTTCTAAAAATACTTTTGCTGTTCTCTTTAGCATCTGAATAATTAACACATTTGGAATACTTTTGATCATTAATAACCTATGTTCTTTAATTTCATTGATATGTATCTTTCAGGTATCTTAATTTTAATGCTTGCATATAATTATTAGTATAGGTGATTTCAGTCTAAATTAGATGCACTTTTTAGAGTTCATACAGTCTTTAAAAGTGTTTAGATTTTTTGGAATCGATTTTTGGTCCTTCAGAGTCCTTAATTTAGGCCAAAATCAGCAGAAGGTCCTTAATTTTAATCATCAGAAATTTCTGTCTGTTTTTATGACTGCCATTTTGAGTGTGAATTAGCATTTTGGGGGAATATTTTTGGTGATTCACTGCCGTATGTATGGTTATCTTTTGAATGGGTTCATGAGTTATAATTTGTTTTTATTTCTAATATAAATGATGGCATACTCAAGTTTCTGAGCAAGAAGTGAAACATAAGCATTTCAAAATTCATTTTTTCCAATAAAAAGCTCTTAAACAACTTTTTGCTTTTGGGGATGTGAATTCTTTTGTATTAACCGGTTCTAAATTTGGCGAATTTTCAACATTTTCGCAATTTTAAAATATATTAATTTTGAGATCTGAAAATTTTTCGACTATTTTTTTTTAAAGCATTGTAACATTGATAAATTTCATTAAAATATTCGTTAATGTATTGAAATTATATTTAAAAAATAACATTAAAATAAAACATTTTTATTTTCATTGTCGTATTATAAAGTTTCATTTTGGCAACATATTATACAATATTTTGAATCTAAAATAATAAGATATAATGCTATAAAGCACAATTGACGAAACAGCTCTTAGCAAAAGCAAAATTAGCTATGTAATTAATTAAAAATGTCTTGTTTTTAATTTTTTCATAGTAAAAGTTTTTTGCATGTAATTAATTGTCTCAGAATATTCAAAATTCTCAGAATGTGCATCAGTTTTCTCTATAAAGTTAATTTTATACTTTTTCCTTCCCCCCCTTTTTTTTGGTCCAAAATCTTTCTGTCTTTTTGCTGTTACAGAAATGGTAGGAATAATTTTTCTTTAGGATTTTAGACATTGCAGCTTGGAAAGTTTAGAAGGACTTGAAGGCGATATTTATAGACCCACAATTCTAGCAGATTCGAAAAATATGTGACAAAATTAAAAATGTCTCCATGGTATCAACACGTAATGGATGTATGAATCTTAGCATGTTTATCTTTCCTTTATTATCTTTACTTTTCACCAGACACAAACATGGAAAATATCAAAAATGCTTCTAATCTTATCACATGGGCAGGTATTATAGAAAGGGATTTTTTTTTATTATTAAAGAAATTGAAAAATTACAATTTAAGAGATTCATCTAAAATTTCTTAATGCATCATACACATAGCTGGCACTAGGCCATTTTCCCACCTGATGTAATCTCTGTGGATCCTAAATTCTGCTGCCTAGTGCCTTTCTAAATTCTGCTTCCCGTGCCTGCTCTAAATTCTAAAAGTTTTGCCATTTCTAGATTTTATTGTTCGATGTGTCACTAAATTCTAGAAATTCTGCCACATCAGCTCTGTAACCGGCCTTTACTATATATATATTTCATATTTCTTCTGAATGTTCATATTACTAAAGAAATAAAGTAGCCGCTTTTTCTGTACATTCTAAATGCATTTAGTGTTTTTTAGAGTAACAGATATCTTTAATTAAATCCAAAAATTCTAAAATGAAAAGGAAACGGGTTGAGGAAAGAAACTGAATACATAAAGAAAATTATTCTTCAAAGATATATGTAGTTATTATAATGTGAATTACTCAATTGTTTATGATTTCAGCCTTTACTATAATTTCCCATTTCTATTTCCTCATATGATAGAGTTATTGAGCCAGATTAAATTAAAATTAAATTGTAGGGCCTTTTTTTAAACAAATATTGTAAAAAATAAAATTTAATGGTGGTCATGTAAATCCATAATGACTAAGGTTATCAATGTACCTAATTTAATTATTTATAACTAACTGCTTACCCTTAAAAGTTATCTCTACATATTAGAGCAAATTATTGGCTTTCATTAATACTCACTGTGATCACAAGATAAAATATAAGAATGTAAAACTTCAAGTAAAACTTATTCTTTGCATCTACTGAGACTTAATACAAAACAACATATCTCTGGTGCTTTAATATCTTATTGGAACCTTAAAGTATATTAACTGGGTTACAACCCTAGGAACTACTACATAAGCTTATGACTCTAACTGCGTCAGACAGGCAGAGCACTGAACTAACTTTTTAAAACTTGCCAACCATGCCTACATCAGGCCTTTCAGGTTTTTTCTGATCAGCAAACCTCTCTAGGCAAGCAGCAACAATGGCAACAGCCAGTCTTCTGTAACAAATCATGCTGATTACGATCTTTACTTCTCATTTAACTTATGCCATTTGGCATAAAATCTAGCCTGCTATTTACTAAACCTCTTAAACTGAGCAACCTCGTAACAAAATGAGACATAAAAGAAAAAAATCAACGTAAAGCTAACTGTTAGTAAAACTTAAATGTCACTTATCTTCTTTCAGATATAGCCAACTATTATAAGTGTAAAATATTTAATGCTACTTGATAACTTGCATAAAGTTCATATTGTTCTCAAACTTATTAACAATTATGTTAATTCATGTTTAGTAAAAATGCATACTACTTAGGAATCTATTGTATTATTAGGATGGTATTGCAAAAGTGAAATTCAGGCATAGATAATATTTTGAATTGAATTTATTCAGTTCCTGTTTGCTCATAGGTCCTTAATTTTTTTCATTAATGGTCGTGCAGAAATGTGTACGAACCCTGAAATAGGTTTAACATTACACCCTAAAACCACTGTTGTTATTTTTTTTTTCATTGGATGAAAGTGGTTTAACTAATATAATTTTGACTTTTTTTATTCATTGCCAATTTTGTATATTAAGTAATTATTTCCTTACTAATTAGAACTATCTTTTTATGGGCTGATATGAAAATAATGAAAAATTAAAATTTTATACATATTTAAAAAAAATTGTTGCATTATTAAAGTAGTTAATTCATTTGGTTCATTCCTTTAATTAAAATTGTGTGCATACAACCAACTATTGAACAGGTATTTAGTTCTATAATCTTTTTGAAGCAAGCTGTGTATTACCTAGTGTTATAATAGTCAAATTTATTATATGAATAGTCAAGTTTTCATAACTAATAATTTTTATTTCTCTGCCATATTGAAATTTATTTTCATATTTTATTAGTTTGCATTGTTAAACATTTATTTACCTACTTCAGCAAGAAAAAAGAAAAAAAAAAACTTTAACCTCTTTGTTAAAAGTGGCCTCTTTTTCTTTTTAGTTGAATGGCGAAATGTCTATCGTCCCACCAGTATAGAAAAGTTTAATGTACACTGTGTTTTAAATCACAATGTTGGCCTTCTTCGATTATTTCCAAGTATTACTGTTGAAGTGGTATGTAAATTGAATTTTAAACATATTTAATATTCATATGACAGCTTCTACAGCATATATCAGGGGTGGCCGAACTTCATGTCTGTGAATGTTGCACGTTCATTCATTCAGGAAAGTTCGAGAGCCACAACATGATTTTCTAAAAGCTGAAAGTACGTATTTACTTCATTTTAAAAGTACTGAAACAGGTTTTAAATGGAAAAATTATCTGGTTGTAAACAGTCTTAAAAGACAGTTTATTTTACTTTTCTTTGGACATTGAGTTTTTGGACATTTTAATTTACTGTGCTTCATGCATATATATTATTTGCATAAGAGCTGCATCACCTGCCTGACCACAAGAACATGGCTTGTGAGCTGCATGCCACCCCTGACATATATGATTGACATGGATACTTTGTTTGAAATATGTTAATACTTTGTTTGCATATTAGGGAATGTTCTTTTTATGTATTATTTTTCTAAGTTTTTTTTTAAATACCCGTAGACATTTTAGGTCACATGTATAAAATTCTACTTTTATGTCTTAAAAGAAAGATGTATGTAGAAAGGTGATCTAAAATCTTGAATGTCAATATTCTTGTAGGTTCGGGCTTTCTTGAGTCCACCAATAGAAGGTGTGGTTTTGCAAACATATGGAGCTGGTAATGGACCATCACAAAGAAAGGATTTGTTTGATGAATTAAAGCGTGCAAATAGGAGAGGTGTAATAATTGTAAACTGCACCCAGTGTTCTCTTGGACAGGTGGAAACATCATATGAAACTGGAAGTGTATGTCTGATATTGTAATTACTTTTATTGATAACTAAAAACCATATTAATATGATGAAAAATGTTTCTATATTGGTTCCTGAAACATACCTGCTGTATTTGTTCTCTAATAGAGTCTCACATTTATTTTCATTGTTAAATTGTAATGTCTGAAAACTAATAATTGTTTATGTATGTGGATGAAAATTGTATATTAGGTACAGTATTGCTGTTTAGAAAATAAATATTTTAGAAGTAATGCAATTAATTTATTCATATAAAAGAGCATTTCATGTTGAATATACTGAATGTTAATATCTGTTGCAAATACTGAAAGAAAAAATGAAATTGTAATTCTAAAATAATGATGATAACTATGAATTGCCTGTATGAAAATACCTGTCCTATTTATGCATCGGTTTCACGTTACCTGTAATGCTTTGAAAACTGCTCTATTCTAAATGCAGGTAATACTTCTTGACTGTGTGTAACTCTGCATATTTATTATCCTTTTTTTTTTTTTTCCAGGCTCTCATTGAAGCAGGTGTGGTTCCTGGGTCAGATATGACACCTGAAGCTGCATTAACAAAATTAAGTTATGTTCTTAGTAAAACAGAATGGTCAATTCAAACAAAAAGAACAGTATGTTATTTCAGTATATATGTATATGTGTGTGTGTGTGTGTGTGTATCTTCTTATAAAGATATTTTATGGCTTATTTCTTTTATGAATTCATCAGGAATTTCAGGGTTCGTACGGTCCTTAAAAGTCCTTAAGTTTTTTGGAATCGATTTTTGGTCCTTAAAAGTCCTTATTTCGGCCAAAATCGGCATAAGGTCCTTAATTTTAATAATCTGAAATTTCTATCTGTTTTTACAACTGCCATATTGAGTGTGAATTAGCATTTTGCAGGAATATTTTTGGCGATTCACTGTCAAATATGACTATTTTTTTAATGCGTTCATGAGTTATAATTTGTTCCTATTTGTAATATAAATATTAGTGGGATACTCGAGTTTTTGAGCAAGAAGTGAAACATAAGCATTTCAAAATTATTTCATTTTTTGTAATGAAGAGCTCTCAAACAACTTCTCCCTTTTGGGGATGTGAATTCTTTTATTAAACGGTTCTAAATTTGGCGATTATCAACATTTTGGCGACTTTAAGATCGATTTCTATAAAAAAATGTTAATTCCGAGATCTGGGAATTTTTTGACAATTTTTTTAGAACATTCTGACATTGATAAAATTTATTAAAATGATGGTAATATATTGGAATTACATTTAAGAAATAACATTAAAATAAAGCATTTTTTTTCCACTGTCATGTTATTAAGTTCCATTTTGGCCGCATATTATACAATTTTTTGAATCTGAAAAATAAGCAAGGAATAATGCTATAAAGCACAGTTTACAAAACAATTTTTAGCAAAAGCAAAATAGCTGTGTAATTAATTAAAAATGTCTTTTTAATTTTTTCATGGTAAGAATTTATCCCATTTCTCTGGTGACCGTGGGACCGACAGTATTAAAGTTAAAAAATAAGTATTGTCTCAATGAAAATGTGATCAAATGTAGTTTTAATGAAATTTATTGAAAGATTCTAAACAAAAATACGGCTTAGCTTTACACATATTACAATATGAAACAACTATTTTGGTAACATTTTTTAGCTATCTCGCATCCAAATAGTTTTGAGTTGTCATCGTAACATTTCGAACAATACTTTCAGACTTTATGTGCGTCTTCTTCCTTTTTCTATAATTTATGAATAATTTAAGTCGGCAATATTGCACCTCTTGATCGCAATATTGCTACCGGCTGAACGAAAAGGATAGCAAATTCGCCGCCGGGCTCAGCGTGTTAAACCTTTACCGTGGTCACAAGGTAAAACACAAAAATATAAAAATTCATGTGAAACTTATTCTTTGCATCTAGTGAGACTTAATACAAAACAACTTATCACCGCTAATGCTTTAGTGGCTTAATAGAACCTTAAAGTATATTAACTGAGTTACAACCCCTGGAACTCTACATTAAGCTACGACACTAACAGCGTCAGACAGAGGTCAGCTAACTTTCAAAACTTGCTAACTGTGCCTACATCAGGCCTTTCAGCTTTGTTCTGATCAGCAAACCTCTCTATAGGCAAGCAGGAATGATGACAACAGCCAGTAAATCATGCTGTTATTGTAAATCATGCTGATTATGATTTTAATGCTCATTTTAATCTATGCTGCTTGACATAAAATCTACTTACTATTTACTAAACCTCTAGACTGAGCAAGTATGTGACAAAATGAGACATTAAAAAAAGCTAACTGTTAGTAAAATGTAACTAAAATGTCAACTGTGTCCAGTTATTATGAGTGTAAAATACTATTTCATGCTACTTGATAAATTTCATAAATTAATTTTACTCTCAAACATATTAATAATTATGTTAATTAAGTTATGTTTAATAATAATGCGTCCTACTCACGTTCAGGCATAGATATAATATTTTTAATTGAATTTATTCAGTTCCCATTTGCTCAAAGGTCCTTAATTTTTTTCATTAATGGTCCTTAAAAGTACTTAATTTCCTTGTGCAGAAATGTGTACGAACCCTGAATTTATACTGAGCAAAGCAGTTAAAGAAAACGCTTTATCATTAAGTAAGAGTCAAATATATTTTAATTGCTGAAAACCAAGTATTACCTATAAATCCTTAAGCATTATCGCTCCCATGTATGAGAGTGTAATAATATTTTTTAAATTGAGCTCATTTCTGAGCATCAACTGATTCGTTCTTAAAAATAAAACATTAAATATAATACATCGAACTTCTTTCACGATTTTCCTAGAAGGTGAATAAAAAATCACTATATTATTCAATAATTTTTTTAGTTATTTATCATCTCTATTCTTACCACATTATTCATTCTATTGCCACCCAACTGGGATTGTGGTTAGTTATACTGATTGCCATACTTAAAGGCCCAAGTTCAAATATCCTGGAGAAGGCATGGATATGTAAATGTGTTGTGTCTGTGCGGCATGGGGACATTCTAAATATGCGGAGTGCCGAAAATAGTCCTCTTGAGAGGTTGGTGGTAGGGTAAGAGGGGGTGGGAGAGCCTTGGACCTGTTCCCCAGGGGTGCCCTCCATCAAAATTAGGGGGCAGAACTGAGAAGTCATACTGCCACTTGTATGGTGCTCAAGGCTCTTGCCAACAATAGGAGCAATCTTGCACTCCATGCCACAATGAATTTTGTGGCCTTGTTTTGATGTTACTGTCAGACAAGTGAGATAAGTCACAACAACTGATTCTGTTATTCAACTCTAAAACTGACTCATGAGTAAAAGAGGAGATATATTTTCTGTTTTTAGTGTAATTTGTTACAATGCCCCAGTGCAGTCAGTGGGTTTTAACATATGTCATCCACTTTTATGTGGGTGAAATCAGTTATTATTTTTCAAAGACCTAAGTTAGATTAACATTTCTGCTGATCAGTTTGCAATATCTTATTTATATTTTTGTGTGTTAGCTTATTCCCCATGACGTGCAGGTTGGCTTTTCCTATTACTCCTTCTGAGTCTGCATATTAATCCTTCTTTCTGACTATAAGAAGCATATCACAAAACCATACAAATTGTTTGAATTGCTTGTGCTCATTTTATTTTGTTCTATTTATGATGGTAATTTCTTGATATTACATCTATTTCAAATGCTATTAATTATTTTACCGTTTCTATTGCATGTCATTTCTGTTTTATTGTTGGCTGCTTTTTTTCAAATTATATATTGTTTAGAAAATGCATAGTTTAGAATAAGTGTTTTTATTTTTCATTATGATATTTTTATATGGTAATTAAAAGCATTTGTATATATTTTTTGTTTATAATTTTTTGATGCATGTGTGTGCATGCATGGGCTATGGAAAGGAAGAGGCTGAGAAAGAATATGTGTATGAATGTGTGTATATGCATATAATTAGTGTATTAGCACAAACACAGTAACAGCTATCTGGATACATGCCTGGGAATATTTCTGCTATCAAACTAGAAGTAATAAACATGTGCTTTCCATGCATGATGCTGTAAAGAGAAGCCTTATTCCTAGTTTGCAAAATAAAATACTCTACTGGAGATAGAATTAAAAAAAAAAAAATCTATCCATGCCAAGTAGCAATATCTTAGGTGTATGTCTAGAAATATAATTTGTCCAATCTAGGAAACAATAAATTACATTCTGCAAGTTCTCACCATTTTGTAGATCATGCTTTTGTAGCTTATGCACTAGTAATTTGTGTGGAATTAATTCCATATACATACAATAAATTTTTCATAAAATGTCCCACCTTTCTTTGTTTTCAGCTGAACTTTTCTTCCCCCATAGCTTGTACTGTCACAGATTCTGACTGTAACTGAGATTAGATGAATGTGGGACACATTTCAGAGTTTGGAATTCATTTTGGCAAAGTACATTGGTGGTAGATTTCTGATACAATGGTAGTAGATAGTAAGCAAATGTGGCACCCAACGTGCAGCCAAGCTTGCACATATCTAAATCATGGTTCAGTATGTGGCATGTTCTTTAGACATGCTCATAGCCTATCTCTCTAACCTTGATACGATGATCGTCCAGCACCATTTGGTGGATTTTAGCGATGTTTTCATCAGTGGTTGCAGCTTTTGTCTGTCCTGAACGTTCATCATCACCCGAGCTCGTTTGGCTATGTTTAAATTCAGCAGCCCAAAATTTCACTGCAGTAAGTGACTGTGCAGAATCCCTGTATAGTGTATCCAACTACTCTTTAATCTGAGTAGGCGTATTATCTTTCAAAAACAAGTATCTAATGACAGCACAATACTCAATTTTTTTTTTTCCATTTTTGCAAAAATGGTCACATCAACTCACAAAAGTAATTGTCATTCGTGTTCAAAATGGCTGAAATTTTGATTGGTTTTAAAAGTTAGAATTTTATTTGCATTCAAGTAATTTTTATATCTACTGAAAGAAAATGGATTGACTATTCAACAGGATCAAGTGATGCCCAATTTAAGTTCTTATTTATTCTGTGCTTAATTTTATGTCTGACCAAAATGTGTACAAAAGCAATGTACTTAGTTATTACTATCCCTGCTTACACCAATCATATCTCTTGATTCCTTACACATTACTTATAACCACTCCTTTCCCCCACACTGTTACTGTGTGAGCTTTTATTAGCTCTTTCTTCTTATAAATTGTATTTTAAATATTTATTTTTAATTTAGTATAAAAAAGGTACAGATTAATTTCAATAAACTTAGCATTTCATTATTTTAGAAAATTATTTCAAGAATGCTTAGTGTTTAAATGTAGGCCTGGACCTCATCAGCAGTCAATAAATCCATCAGTTTGCATATGTTCTTTCCTTTTTACAAGCACTGATACTTGAAATAATTTCAGTACATTATTGTCATGTTTTGACTTAAACGTGTGTTATCACCATCTTTATTTAAATTAAGTAATGTAATAATGTTTTTAATTGTATTTTTCTAACTTTTTGCATGGATGTCTGTTAATTATATAGAATTAAAATAATACAACAGTAAAATTTATTACAAGAATCCTGAATAAAGGGCGAGAGGATCATAGTTTGTGAAGTGTGAAATTAGGGTTAATCTGTAATTACAAAAGAATAAATATTAAGGACTGTTTCGAAGCCTATGATACAAAAAATACTTTGAAGCATGTGGTGAACAAGATGTGAGAAATAGACAGTCTAAAACACTACAAATGATATAAAAACATTTAGACACCAGTTTAGATGTGCATACTCTATTCGCTATGAAAAATCCACTTGTGTTCTGCAATCTCTTTATGAATGTTGTTTCAAATGCCGTCCTAGGAATAAAAATATTTTCTGAACCTAAAAATTTCTTACTTAACTTGTTCTGAATTATTCAGATTATTGTAATTAAATGCCTGTTATGCAATAATCCATATTGCTGAGAAGTGAGCAGTTTTTTAATTCATTGGTGCAAAGTATGTAAAATAGGATAATGAAGAAATTTGTTTTTAATTAGAAGCCTTTCTTCATTGTGTTTTAAAAGTTAGAATTTTATTTGCATTCAAGTAATTTTTATATCTACTGAAAGAAAATGGATTGACTATTCAACAGGATAGCATATATGAGTGAAAAATATTTAATATTTAAATATCTGCCTTTCTTTAATTAGATGATGAAAACAAACCTGAGGGGGGAACTTACAGTTCATAAAGAAATGAAAGTTGAAGACTTAGATGTTTTTACGTCAATTATTCAATCACTTCGACTTTCAACTTCAGAGGTATGTAATTATTTTGTAGCTTCTCATATATGTAATTACAGAATACAGCTCAGTGTTTGAAACTTTTTATTTGTGTTTGCATTTCTGATATATTTTATATCATGAGTATTTTGTGTATTTTATTATTTTGCTTTCTGGTTTAAATGTATCATTAAATGCAGTTTCTTCAAGTATATACAGTACGAAGTCCATAATTCGGACTCGTCGGGACTTCGGCGATTCCGGATTAGGGGTTTTTCTGGATTATAGATCATCAATTTAAATCTGGTAAGATGGCATGCAGAAATTATATAATTAAAAATAGGAAACCGTAATTTATGAAATTAAGAGCAATTATGATCTAAAGGGTATCAAAAAAAAAGCTAATATTTGTTTACTTTATTAAACATTTCTTTCAATGTATGTTGTTTCGTTTTTTGTGCTAATACTTTCTATTTAATTCTATAAACAGACATAATTTCTTGTTCTGTTACAAAGTTCCACTATTCAAGTCCTGTAATTGCCGTGTCGAGAATACCGACTAACTTGTCAATCAAAATTTTTTCGTTTTCAGTAACCTCTCTGTCACTTTCTTCACTATCGGAAGTGGTACTTCCTGGATCTAGAACCATACTACAGATTTTGCCGTCCGTTGATTGATGATTGGAGCATTGTCGTCGCAATGAAAAACTTCTGTTATATCATCTTCATTTATTACCACTTCTCCACATTTCTTTACAAAATCCAATAACTGGAAAATTTCACCTTTAGTTTGCAATGTCTGAAAACCTTTCAAATTCGCGGCTATCATCTTCATCGTCCTCACCATGAAATATGGTAGCTGGCCATAAACTAAGCCAAGCATTTTGTAACGTATCTGGAGACGCATCCTCCCAATGTGCATGTGCATGCATAAACACATTATGCACATTATGCGCAAAGCATACCAAAAAAAAAAAGAGTTTGTGGCTTTGAGGTCTGGATAATGGATGTCCGGATTACAGACTTTGTACTGTATAATGTTGACCTTGGGTTTCTAAACCAAGTGAAGTAATATAGGTTCATAAAATTTGGCAATTTTTTTATACCTTTTTCTTCCAGAGGACTAGCAAATAACAGCTTGAAAATTTTGTAATGTTACTTTAACTTCAGCAATGCCTAAACAATATTTTTATATTAGTAATTGAATAATAAAGAGTATGATAAACTTTTCTGTTAACATTACGCTTGACAGTGATTACAGATTTAAGTTAAATGCATTGAGAAATGCTGACAAGGAAAAATTTAACAAAAATTTCTTTTGATACTTCTTTTGATTATTTCATTGTTGGTACTTGGCAAAATGTAAGATTTATCTTTCATATTTAATCTGTCCGTTATTGATTAGCAAACTAAGCTATTTAAAAGCAATAGGTGCAGCTCTTAAGAATTTTGTCTTTTTACTTCTTTAATCTGATTGCTTTAATAAAAATGCATTTAGTATAAGTATTTTCATTATTTGCAATAAATATTTCACAGAATTGCATTATATATTTTGTCACTTTTCAAACATGCAGAAGATATAAACCATTCCTATGTTAGTCTATTCATCTAATATCTAATAAAATGTTGCGCTATTTTATCTGGACTATCTCTATTGATAGTCTGTAGTGATAAACCATATTAAACTTTAAAAGAACTCTTATGGGTGACCATTAAAATCCGTACCCTTTCAAATTGTTTTTCCCATATTTTCGATTTATTTCATTTAAGTTCATTAGTAAACTGTACTATTTATTTTTTATCTTTGTATTGATATAAATTATTTTAGTAAATTGTAACTTATAATGAAAAAAGCAATTTAAATTTTAGAAACTTTGTTTCTGTTTTTGATTTTTAATATAGATAAAAACCTTTGAAATGAAGCATAACTACTTTAAATAGCTTTATTTTGATTTGAACTTTTAAGCTTTAAATCTTGCTAACACTTTGGGCTGAAATTTTTATTCTGTTTAACATTTAAAATCTAGTGATTTGCAAAAGTTATTTTTTCATATCTAACGATATACAGCAAATTTATTTTTCATATTTAGCAATTATTTAAAGCTATGAGTTTGTCACCCGTGTTAAAAGTTCATTAAAAAAGAGTAACAAAAAAAATTAAATATTAACCTTTAAAAGACGGGTGGCCTAAATATTGGCCAGAGCTGCAGTGCCTCAAAAAGATGGCTGTGGCCGAAATATTGGCCAATGAATTTCCCTCTTACCCAGCCTTCAGGGTGCGGAGATAGTCATTGTCCGAATAACCTCCCTTGCCACTTATGCGAGATGACCTTCGCGCCTCCCAACTGTAGGGTTTCTTAAATTCCCTTTCGTTTCCCTCGGCAGTGAAATCTTAGCAATTTGACATTAGTATTAATTTCACCAACTTTTCAGTGTCATTAAAAATATATTTTTTCTTTATATTTCCCCTTTTTATTGTAATTTTTGTATTTAATATTGCTGTTTGGAACATGCAAAATGCAATGGAGTCCAATGCAATGAAAATATAATCAATAAAATCTGTTTTTAAAGTAAAAGAAAGTAATTTTACAAAAATGTTAAAGGATAAAAAAAGCTTTTATCACAAAACTGCAAGAAGGAACAATGAACAATAATGTAGTTGAAAGATGAAATAACTTACGATACAATGGGGGGAAATCAATAAATTAAACTGAATAAGAAAGACTACTAATGAAAAAGGTAAACTAAACTAATATAAGAAAAATACAACGGGATTTGTTTGATACAGGTATAAATACAAGCTGTTACATAATGCTTGGAAACAAATAAAAGCGAACTGCCGATTTATACGAGAAACAAATAGTTAAACATCATTTTTGGGTATAAATTTAAAATGTTAATTAGTACATATAATTCTAAACTAAATTCAGTTTGGAAACAAATGAAAACGGAATAAACTATGAACTGATATAGGCGTGCATTTGCTGCTAAGGCATATTTTCATTATGACGCTAAGTCAAAAGTTAATATTCCAACATACGATTTAGCTGCGAAATCTCATTATAATATGTTTCTTTAGTTTAGGGAAGGAACCAGCAGAAAAGAGAACAAATTCAACAAGTTCTTTTATATTATTCCCTAGTCCCTTATCTGAAAATTAACAAAGGCGACCTACAGGAAAAGTTGCAAAAGAGTAGTAGTTTCCCTTTACAATGGCAGCTAAAAGGGGGTGAAAATGCATTTGGATTTCCCGTCTTTTTAAGTGAAACCTTTCCAAACTGCCCTGTCTCTAAAGCTGTGTTCCCACTGGGGTTTATCTGAGCTAACGAACACAATTGACGTAGCCGACCCATCTCCAAAACCAGTTTTTTCCCATAGGGCGGCAAGTTGAAAAATCTGAACTGCAGGCACAGCGGGGTTAGTTGACACATGGAACTGACTCCGTTAGCTCAGATAAACCCCAGTGGGAAAGGGCCTTTAAAGGTTAAAGAAATTTCTTTCAGATAGGTACGTTAATAAGAGCAAAAGTTTAAAAACATGTCTAAAAACACTTGGTTTTTCTCTGTATTACATATAAAAGAAAACCAAAGTTGTTCATCAGTGAGAAATTATGGCACACTTCTGTTTTGTGAGTGAAAGCGCATGTATTCAAAAAGTGTGGATGAACACATTGTTGATATTTATGATTATCTTGAAAGAAGTTCACAAAGGAAAGAAAAATTGAAACAGTTCCAATAGCTGCATAATACTGAAATAAGAAAAATTTTGAAACATATATGCACACACTGGCTATCTTTAAAGAAATGTTTATCTGGAATCCTCAACTAATAGAACCCACGTCTTGAATTTTTCATAGAAGTAAATGCTTCTAGAGTTAAGATAAAAGACTGTTGAAAGTTATAAAATACCTAAGGTAAATGGAGATGTAGTTACTACTTCCACTGTTAAAAATAGGTTTGAGAAAAAAGTAATTTCTACACTGGTGAGCAATTTAATTGGCAGTTCTCAAAATGATATTACAAATTAAAACTTAAAGCTGATACAAATTTCTCTCAAAATAAAAAATTTAAAAAAAAAATGCTCAACAAAGGAAACATTTTCCGATTACTGTAAGTTTATCTTGTGAAGAACAAATAGTTATGTTTTTGTCTTCGAACCTTAATAAAGCATTTTGCTTTTTCGTACAATTCATTTTGCCGTCATTTTATGTTCTTAACACAGTTATGCAAAGCAGAATTGCATTAATTCATGCTCTGCAATCAATGATTTATGATCTGTGTAAAGACATTTTATCAAAATTTGTAAAACCAGTCCTTGTTTTGTCTTCTAATTCTATCTATGATGTAATTTATGAACTAGAAAATGAGAAGAAAGATGAAGTATTGGTAATAGGAGGGGCAACTTCCAAAGTACTTCTACTTCTGCCGAGTATGTGATTTACATTACATAAATTTCCAATCAAATATGAAATGATTTGACATGCTAAAGTTGCAGATGTTCCTCCTCTAGCAAATGCATTTTTTTCTGATATAAGATATTTTATGAATAGATCCAGTTTTGCTTCGTTTAGTGTGAAAGACAATTTACTGTTTAATCGTGAAAGACAATTTTTTGATGTTGCAACTGACAAACTGCAGTCGCAATTTTGCAATTTACTATTAGAAAACTTGGATAAGTCATAAAACCAGCTAGGATTGACACCCAGTGGAATTGAATTGGAAAACTGAAAGGTGCTGATGAAATTTTATAATATAGTGAATTGTCTAGAATAATGTTGCCCATTCTTACAATACTCCAAAGTAATGCAGGGTTGAGAGGATTTTCAGTGTTGTTGCTAAAACAAAGAATAAATTTAGATCTAATATGAATAGTAACACATTAGGAAAACTTTTAATAGTAAAAGCAGGCCTATGTGGCAATTGCTATGAACAAAATTATGCAGTTTCTTAATGAAAGCGAAGTCTGCCACTCTTCATAGTGTTTATATGAAAACTGATTAAAGAATTATTATTATTTATTTTTTTCATAAAAGATGCAAA